TAGGAGCAGAGGAAAGGGCTGGCGCCTACAGCAGCCACCCCAGGAGGACCACCATCCCGGGGCAACTTGTCTTTGATCTCTGATGATTAAAACAAACACCTCTTTGACGGCCCCTCCTTGAAGACCCTCTTTTCTGGACGGACAGAGGCTGTCCTGTTTGTGCTAGGGTCCTCCTGGGAGGCATCCTGGTTTCAAAGGCAATGCCAGAATACCTAGGCTTTGGCCATCCTCGGCCCCTGGGTCCACATGACATCCTCTGGCCCCAGCTGCCTTCCTCCTGCTCTGACCCAGCCGCTGACACTTCAGGCTTTTTCACTGGGCTCTGTGACCTTCAGATGCTACTGTCCAGGGAGGCAGGTGGCAGGGGTGTCCCACCCCCACGTCACTCACGCCTAACCTCTGCAAGCCGCTGCCTGAGGACTGAGCTTATCACTCTTACAACTTGTGAAAAATAGAACATTTGTTGTAAGGTTCGCTTCATTCCAGTGAGCACCGACTTCAGGCCCTGGAACGGCAGGGGGTTGATGGACACGGTTTCTGCATTCAGAGCAGGGGTTCTGATTCTGACCAGTGGTGTCCTCTGTGCCAGCTGCTTCACAGACGTTTGGAACACCCGAGAGTGTGGCCGTGAAATGGATCTTGTGCTTGCCGATAGCCATCCCAGTGATCCTCGCAGCTCCCCAGGGACAGAATGTAGGGCAGTCACAGGAGCCACACATTCCCGTCCTAAGGCCTCAGGGCTGAAGCCTGAGCACACCTTCTTTGGCAAGGACAGGTGCTTACTCCTGGCAGACGTTCCTCCCACGTCCCATTGTTGGTGTGTCCCCCTGGTAGCTCCAAGTCTCTTGGTGGTTAAAAAAAATGCAGAGGGAAGGAGGAAGTGATGAAGGGACGGACATGATGAGACCCATGGGTCCCCCAACTATTTATTATGCAAACATTCAAACACAGCACATTTTAAGGAAGAGTACAGTAGTCCCTCCCTGCTTATCGACAGCTTTAGTTGCCTGTGGTCAACCTCTGTCCAAAAATATATATTTCTTGACTCTTTCATGAGTGAGAGAGACCACATCCCCATCATTTTTATTTCGTGTGTGAGTTTAAGTGTTTGTTATTAATCCTTACTATGCCTAATTTATAAGTTAAATTTCATCATAGGTATATATAGGAAAAACAGCATATGTGTGCATATATGTTGTGCATGTATAGTTTATATGGGGATGTATGAGCCATCAATGGTCTTGGCTTCCGCAGGGCCCTTGGGCTGTATCCCTGGGGGATAAGGGGGGTGACTGAGCACCGAGCTCTCATGCCTGCCTCCTGGAGTCAACACATATAAACACCTTACCTTCCCTGCTCTGTGTCTCTCTCTACACAGGTCTATGTCTAGGCATTTTTTGCTGTAAGCTTGAAAGTAAGTTCCAATGGCACCCTTCAGTACTCCAGTGTACATCTCTAAGAGTGAGGTGATTCTCTACACTGAATACTGTTTGAAGAAAATTAATAGCAATCAGGGAGGAAGGGACCTCGAGAATTGGTCAAGACATCAGCACAGGTGCCTCAGTTAGGAAAGTGAGCCTCTCTCAGTGTACTCTTTGGAGGGTTTTCTGGCCGGGGCAGGGCAGTAGCGGGAGGACAGAATGATGGGTACAAAGCCCAGAGGCTGCAGAAGAGCAGAGGCTGGCGTGCAGGGGCGCTCAGGTGTGCTCGAGTGAGCTTGAAGGTGACATATCCCAGACCAGAGGAGAGGGGCCCTCGGGGAGAGCCGGGCCTTGGCGAGGACCTGAGCTGGGTCGAGTCTCTAGGAGACCCGGGCTGCCCCCACCCGGCACTGTCTCCCTTTGGGGCTACAGAAGCAGAGTTTGGGTGAAGAGATACAGTGCCTCCCCAGGTGACCCCTCCCCTTCCCCCTGCGGAGGGGGCACAGAGGCGGGATGGGGGGTAGAACAAGGTTGGGGTTCCAGTGCCCAAATCCTCCTGAACACCTGTGCTGAGGCGGCCCTTGGGGCCTTCTAGCTATGCTATCCAGGGCTCTGCAAAGGCTCCCACAGCTGGCCTGGGCCATGGGGGTGTTCAACCTGTGCCCCTGCACTCAGGGACGGCATTTGGAGGCCGGCGGGCCTGGCTCTGCTGGGACATCCTGCGGGTGCAGGAGAACGGTCTACACGTGTACACACACATGTCCCGAAGTGTGAGAAAAATGGGGGCAGGTATACATTTTGGTGTGCATGCGTGTATGTGATGGTGGGGACCTGGACATTTTGGGGTACAGATCTGGGTATGTTCCCGTGTTGGAGTGTGAGTCTGTGCCCCGACTGATGTTAGAAGTAGTGTTTAGGTACAGTGGGCTATTTTTTATTTTGTTTTTGAGACAGGGTCTCACTGTGTAGTTCAAGTTGGCCTTGAACTTACTATGGAACCCAGGGTACCCTTGAACTCTTGGCAATCCTCCTGCTTCATCCTCCCAAGTGTGGGGATTACAGGTGTGCGCCAACACACCTGGCAATGGAATATTATTTAGTTTTGAAAAGGGGAGAGATGAACATGAATGAATCCAGAGGGCATTATGCTAAATGAAATAAGCCAATCACGAAAATATAAATACTGTATATACTCCACTTACATGAGGAGTCTAGACAAGTCACATTCCATGGAGACAGAAAGGAGGATGTTGATTGCCAGGGCCCATGGGAGGGAGGACACGGGGGTTAGTTTTTAATGGGGACCCTGTCAGTTCTGTGTGAGTTCTAGAGGTAGATGTTGGATGGTACACAAGTGTACTTTATGCTCCTGAGCTGTACTTAATAAAAGTTGCAAGGGTAAATTCTGTTATGTGTATCTTAGCAAAGTTAATAAAAGAAGTGGCATTCTGGCGCCTGTGACTGGCTGCACTGTAAGGTTTTCTATTTCAGAGCGACAGTGGTGCACCCTCCCCTCCCCGTCCCCCACGTGAAAGCCAGAACATTGTCACCCAAGGCGCGCTTTGGGGGTTGTCCGAGTCACAGACCCAAGTCTGCATGGGAGGCGCATCTCGGCAGCCAGGAACGGAATGGAGGCATTATGTCAAAGGAAAGAACTTGATGAAAAATTGTTTTATGAAACTTGAATTTTGGCATGTTTTCACGTTTTCATTTGTCAGAACACAGAGTAATAAATGTTAAACATGTTGTTTATTATTATGCATGGTTGATTTCTTTATGATGACAATCTTATTTTAAAGTTCATGGTGGAGTCATTGCAGGACGGGTGGGAGCTCGCGCAGGATTCTAGAAGTCTAGAGTGGGAGAGACGTTTTATGGTTTATGCCAGCAGGACTATGGGGAGAGCAGTTTTTATTTAAAAAAAAAAAAAAGGGGGAGAGTGTTCCAGGCCCCAGCCTGCTCTGGTGGTGGGGGATGGTGCAGTACTGTTCTGGGGTCCCTGGCTAAGAAGCTGGGTGGTGGCTGCAGGGGGGGCTTTCTTGCTGCAGGCCTGGCTTGCTGAACCCTGATGCTCGGCTCCACTGCCTTAGCCTTTGCTCCTGGGGCCGTGTCTGAGGGTGCTAGTTTGTGGTATGATGGGAGAGAGCCTGGGAGGGGAGCAGGCGGCAGCTGGACAGCTCTCTTGTGAGGTCCCTGTCCCTGGGCTGGGTGTTCTGTGTTTGCGACCAGCGCATTAGTTTCCTTTCTTAAAAAAAATCAGTGTACGTATCCAACAGAGCAGCAGCTACCTTCGTGTGGGGGAATTGGTGCATGTCTATAACATATCTTGTTATTTTTGATCCCTCTACCCCCAGCCCTACTCCCCTTCCTATCTCCAAAAGGTATGCCTTTTTGATTCCTACAATTTCTCCTTATATTTTACTCTTTTTCTAAGTCCTTGGGTAGGATCGGCCCTAGCCCTGGGTGAGCTACGTGTGGGACCCGGGAGGAGAGAGAGCAGCCGCACAGCTGGTCCTGCCATCTGTGGCCCAGGGGTGGGGAGCGCCTTCCCTCTAAGAGTCTGTTTGCCCCCTGGAAAAGGGGACTGTGTCCTCCCAGGCCGTGGGAGCCCCTGCTTCATGGGGCTGAGCATTTGGACGCAGCGCTCCACGCTGCGCTCAGGACAGTGCCGTGTGGGATTCTGAATCTGGCTTGAAGATGAGGACTCTGGGTCAGAGAGAAGGGGGCCATTCCACAAATCACCCAGCCACGGGGCACGGGGGTCTGTCTGCTCAGAATTGTGTAAGACATGGAGTGACGCCCTGCCTGGCGAGCTGAGGGAGGCGTTCTGTGTCTGGGAGGTGAGCAGGCAGCTGACTCAGGACTGCAGAGCACGGGGCAGCTTCCGGGGACAGAGACTTGGCTCCCAGCAAGTCCCATGGTCCTTTCTGCTTAAATACAGCAACTTGGCCTAGACCCAGGAGGCTCTGTCTCTCCTGGATGGAGCTGGTAGCTTGGCCTCCTGGATCTACACTTATAACCCCGGCAACCCCACACTGCCAAGTGATGAATCCCAGCATCTGCTTGATTGCTGGGTGGTGTTCATGGTTGTAGTGGTAGTGTCCTTTTTAGGGGTCCTGGGCTGCAAAGCCAGAGTCGGGGTGGCAGGGACACCAGAGTTGGGGTAGGGCAGCAGGTCCAATGACCCTTCCTGAGGACAGAGGTGGACACAGGAGTTTACACATGGGCCCTTGGAGAAGGACACAGAAAGACTGTGGTCCTGGCCTGGGTCACACAGCATGGTGCGGAGGGTCACCAGCCAGCCCTGCTTCAGGGGAGGGTTGGGTGGGAGTAGGGGAAGTGTCTCCCAGCCCACTGCCACCTCTACAGCTTTCTTTGGCATGTTGGTGGGGGCTGAAGGGGCTTGGAGGAAGGAAATGTGCCCTTCCCCTAAGACGGCTCCACATTCCCACTTCTGAGCACAGATGCGGGGCCAAGAAAAGCCGAGGAGGCTGGCGAGGGTGAGTCGGGGTCCTTCCCCAGACACACAACCAGTCAACCCTCCAGGGGCCTGGCTCCCTGTCACCCCTTCTGCTATAGGAAGTGGCGGGATCCGGGTGGAGTGGAGTGAGTATCCCGGCAGGGGCCGGGCTCAGAGCGGCTCTCTGCTCCTGCTCCTTCTGACCCAAAGCTCCTCCAGCCGCCCACCGCCTCAGCCTCCAGCGCGGCAACGACCCTCCATAAAAGGATAAGGATCACATTCCTCACTTTTTAAGTCGCACAAAAGCTGTATGCATAATTAATGTGCAATAAACGTGAGCGGCTGGAAATTAACTAAATGAAAAAAGGAATACACTTAATTGTGAAAATTTAATTTTGCCTTTATTCTTTCCTTTCTTTCCCTCTCTCCCTCCCCTTTCCCCTGCCCTTTTACAACTTGTTATATTCTCGGAGCCCGTCAGATCTTGCTGGAGATCACAGTGTGAAAGAGTCGCCTCCTGACCTCTTGCCAGGGACTGGGGACAAGATTAGTCTTAAGCGGCAGCCTAGTCAGTTACTTTCAGCCAAGAGTCTGAGGGTGCCCACGAGCCGGGGGCTATTGTGTCGCACACAGGAATGTAATCATCCCCCAAACCCTTCCTTGGGGAGCGCTGGCGTCTGATTTTCAAGGCTTTGGCAGATGCAATTTTGAGAGTCGCCTTTGGAAACTCAGAGAGAAAGCTTATCACGTTATTTAAAATTCCTAAAATAAATTCAGTGGTTAAAAGTCAAAGAACTAAATACATTTACATATATTCAAACAAAGTATTTTAAACAGTAACAGCGAAGGGCCTTTCTTCTGCTAATTTTTAAAAGGACAAGACCTTTTCCAGGTGGTAAGATCCGGTGATGAAATTTCCCAGTGGAAAAATTTATTGACACATTCTTATGGTCACATCTCTTAATAAAACCTGAAGATTCAACTTCAAGAAACAATCCATCCACTTGAAAGAGAACTTAAAAAAATTTTTTTAAAGAATAAAACTCTATTAGCCAGATACCTTAAAATATGATTTATTGCACACATATAACAACAACAATAACCTAAAATATCAAGTCCCTGGAAATAAATCACTGCCGATCCCATCTCCCTAATATGCCAGCTGTTTTCCTGCTTCTGCCGTCTTTTCCAGCCCTGGGCTGTATCAGCAGATAATTTTCAAAGTGGCTAAGAGAATCTAGAGATGGGGCCCAGAGTCATTTTGGCCGTTTGGGGGAAAAAAATGTTTTTAGAATATTCTAGTTTGTTTGGATAGTTTATAGCCGGGCCTTCTCAAGTCTTTACAAAAAGGAATTGACTCAGGGTGTCTCTGGGTTGTCCTGTTACCAGATTAATGGGAAATAAAACAACAGCTCGAGTTCATTGCCACCTCTGTCTGGGTACCTGGTCCTATTTCAGTGATCTCCGGTTATGCAAGAGTTGCCTGGTTGCTGGGGCCCCTGGCTGCAATAACCAGATCTGTGGCTGTGGACACCCCTGGCTGGCCAGCCCGGTTGGCAAAGTGGCTGATGCCATGAACAGGTGGCTCACAAGGGACTGACGAGAGGTAGTGGGCCGGGGTGGCAGGAAGGTTCTGCAACAGTCAGTTCAGCCCAAACCCTCCGGCAGCACCAGCTGGACCCCAGCCACAGGCCTTTGCATTAAACAGCTTCTGACACTAACACACCAGGTCTGCTGGCTGTTGTCACAGGAATGCAATATCCTCTGGAGGTCCCCTTATTAAAACCAAGGCTTGCTGCCACCACCCGGGATAGATTTCTACGCTATTTGTATCGATCACAGGGAAATGTCTCATTCCCTGGTTGACAAATATGGCCAGCAGGGAGTTAGTTAGCATTGGGAGGAAAACATTTGTTTCCCCAGTGATTTGGGGGACCCCGAGCTGGAGCTGTGGTTACCTTCTCGAGGTTGTGATGGGTGAGCTCTAGCAAGGATATAGAGTTATAAATATGCGGATTACCATTTTGCACAACAATAGAACCTGCCAGGGGCCTTCAGAAATACTTTGAAGCAGCCACTTCGTTTTACAGACGGGGGCCAAGGAAAGGGACCCACAAGGTCACAGAGGTAGTAGAATTTCTAGGAATTTGCCTCACAAATACCTGTCGGTGGTGGCAAAGGGTATTCATCACAGGGAAAAGGTGGGCAATTACCTTAATGTCCATCACAGGTAAAGATGCTGGTGTCAGGTAAAAGCACATTGTTACTATTTGCCCTCTTCTGCAGCGGTTGACCCACACGTGACTGTCAGTGTTCGATCTATTGCACCTATTGAATGGCGTGGCACTCAGGAACAAGACGGAGATGTCTCCCAAGCTATATTATTAAATGAAAAAAAAAAAACAAGCGGCAGAGGGATGTACCTGTTATGCTCCATCTGCGATTTCAAGAAGGAAGCATGTACACATTTGCTGGTCTAAGTCTCAGCTCTCTGGGAGGAAACAAGAGAAACTGTCCAAGGTGGCAGCCTGGGGAGTGGGAAAGGTTTGTCAGCAAAGCCTTTTGTTTTAGAGCCTCTGTACCTTGTGTGCATGGCAGCTATCACTAAGTTAACATTTAGAACAGAGATGGAAATGTCAGCAGCACCCTCCCAACTAGGGCTAAGAGCTCAGTGGGCTCGGAGGTCTGAGTTCTGCGCTTCATGGTTCTTTATCCCACAGAACCTCAGTTTTCTGCTCTGTCCAGTGGGGGGATGGTAGTGCTCACTTCCTGGAGTGGAGGGGAAGGTTTCCTTGAGATATGAATGAGAAAGGCTCAACCCTATGGCCCAGAGATGTCAGTAAACGTTGCATATTATTATGAACGACACATAAATCACACATGCACACACATGTGAATCTTTACACTAACTCACTTGGCACTTTGGTTTTCTTGGAAGAGACATTAAAAACTCTCTGCGTGTGTTCAGAGTCTGAAGCTGGGATTGCTGAGTGTTATATCTGTTTGAGGGGCTATTTTTGCGGCCGAGGTGATGGCCCAAGCTGAATTTGCAGGGTGGGGCTGGTGCTTTTCCCCACCGGAACCAGTACACGGTCTTCCGCATCTCTGTGTACACAGGCAGGTGAACTAATAGAATTAAGCTTATTGGTTTAATTCCTCTGGGCCCCGTTGGCAAGAGAAGAGCAGCTGGATGAATATTTTAATTAAGCTCTGACACCCAGAAGTCAAAGTCCCCGAGTGGTCCCAGTGGGCCGTGTCTCACAGTTTGGGGTTTAATCAAGTGCGGCTTCAGAGTTCAAATTTCTTCCTGGACAGAAATATGTCATTAGGCGTCCAAGATTTCCACTGGAAAAAAAAATACAACTTGACTATATTTTCTCTAGAGAATGACACCATGATTCGATTAGCCCTTTTTCCTTGACATTTTGCCCACTTTATTAACTTCTGCTTTGCTTTTAAGCAGGCAACTACTGTTTTACTTCCCTGAAGAAGCTCATAATATTATAATTCAAGTGTCAGGACAGATTAGGTTAAACGAACTGTGTAATTCCCGAAGGAAAACAAACTTCAAAACGGACGCGGTTAGCCTTGTAACATGTCATGGATTGCATTAGCGTCGAGCGGGCGATTCGGTCACCTAATGTGCTAAAGTTGGCTCAGATGTCCCCTACTCTGCAAGGTGAGAAATTACTTAGCTAACAAAACATTTAGTTTTCCTCTCTTTGCATTCTTTCTTTATGAGATCCTGAATGTGACATTTTCACCAAAAAATCTCTTTGCTTATTTGTGAAAAATGTATATTAAAACCAAAACCCATCAAATGGAAAGAAATCACAGATGGTTTTATTCACAAGCAGTAGAATTAATGGCCTCTCTTCTCTTTATAAATATTAGAAGCAGATGAGTTCATTACGATTTCACCCTAATAAAGAAAACCTGCTTGATTTTGACAAGACATCGACTTATCTAATATATCTACTAAATAACAAAGCTACTTCCCGCCCGTAAAACACAGGCTGAAATCACCGGCTTTACCTGGGCTGTTTCTAAATTAATGAAAAACACTCCAAAATTCTGCAAAAGAAAGCGTGGTGGTGGCGGCGGGGTGGAATTCGAGGGATTTTTGAAAATGTGACTGATTTTGAAAAGAGAGGGTTTTGAAATGTTTACTTTGTGGTGGTTTGAAATTTTTACATCTTTCAACAAAGCGGGCAGAGAAGTGAAACCATCTGAAAGGGCTTTTGAAAAGAGCGATTCAGCATTAGTCGGCGAAGCTGAGGCTCCTTTATCTCGGGCAATCTGCGCACATCACATCGTGCTGCGGCGGGGAGGCCGGGCCCTGCGCCCCGCTCCACCCTTCCGAGCCCCAGCGGCCTCGCCGGGCTTCAAAGCGCAGTTGGCGGAGCGTCCTGGGAGGGAATCGGACACCTCGCTCCGGGGACCCTCGGGCCAGCTCGCTCCTCTCCCCCAGCGCTGCCGCCTGATGTGGTCATCTCGTTAGTCATGGGAAGCCCGCGTATTTCTGTTTGTGCCGCTTTCACCACTTGTTAAGCAAGAAGTGGGAGGCTCCGCGAGAGACTGCAAAAGATGTTTGTTCTCCCCAGGGCCCCAGCAGTTGGGGCCACAGCCCATCCATCACTGCAGAGGCCTCACGGAGAAATGGAACGAGTCAGCTTTGCCCAGAGGGGGAGAGCGGTGAAGGGCACGGGGGAGGGGGGCTCTGTCCGGGACCCTCTTGGCTTGGCTCCAACGCAGAGCGTGGGCTCCACCTTCGTCTGAGAACCGCGGAGGGTCGCGTTGGGGGAGGCAAGCCACATAGCTAAGAAGAAAAGCTCCTCACGGCTCGCGGCTGCCGCCCGGATCTGCTCCCCACTTTCCCCAGCGTGTGGGGCTGACATCACAGCCATCAGACACCTGCCCAAACCTGTCTCAGCTGAGGGAGGAGTGAGAACCAAGGTCGATTTTTTTTAAAAAAAGTTCGAGGTGTGGGGGATGGAACTCAAGGCCTTATGCGTGTCCCACAAGCCCTCTGCCACCAAGCAACATCCCCAGCTCAGAAGTCCTATCTCTAAGCAGTTCGTTAAGGTGAACCAGTACCTCCACTGGGTCCGAGACTGCGTCCCTCTGCTGGCCAGCGCTCTCTTCCTCCAAGCTAGGGGCTGCGACCCCTCCAACAGGCCCAGGTGGGCTTCGGGGCTCTGAGAACATCCATCCAAGCACCTCCTTCAGGTCTCAATTCCACCCACGCCAAACTTCTGGGGAAGCAACAAG